AAAAAAAAAAAAAAAAAAAGAAAAGAAAAGAAAAGAAAAATGACTTTGTGCTTGTGATCTCAATTTATGGATAAGTAAACACGTTTATTAAGTTTAAAATGTTCCAGTGTTCACTTAATGTTAAACTTGTTGGTGTAAGGAAACTCACACGTGGTCTGACGGTTGGTCACAGTTCTGCTTTATTGGTATTTGTGTGAACCATCTGTACTTTATGTGCTCAGATCTCCTTGGTCCTCTCAGACTAACCCCGATTACTTTCCCAGTTTGTTCACGTTTGCCAAACTGATTCGCAAAACAGTTCAGAGGAAGGAACCAGCCACCCGGCTGGCACTGCTGGCTGCTTGGGGGATCCAGGCCTTGCTGTACACCAGATACTGGTGAAAATGTGGGAGATCGTTCGCCCCCACACTGAATGACTCGTTTATTTTCTGGCTCAGCCCAGTACTGACTCAGAGGGGAAGGGAGGTGAACATGAGGAGTTAATTGGAGACACAGACCTGTTGCCATGGGGGCTGGGAGGACTTCTCAGGGCAAAGGGTTTCCAGCAGGCCTGGGGGACAGTGGACAGACATACACCTTCAGTGGTGCACAGCTGGTGCAGGGCCTGGGCTGGCACTGGCACTGTCCCTGCCCCCTGTGTCCCATCTGAGTCTAAGGTCCTTGGGCTGGAGCGGAGGCTTGTGACTCCTGTTTCCACCCCACAGTATCTGAGGAATGTGGGCATTCCACCCACAGCAGCAGGTCCCCCTAAAAGGTGGGGTGGGCAGAAGAGGGGAGGCTTCCCCAGCTGGAGCCATTCCTCTGGGAAAGCCCACGGTGACACTGGTGGCCCTGCCTGTGCTGTCCTCAGCCACAGACCAGATGCTGCTGGGTCCTTCTGAGCAGAGCTCACTTCCCAGGGGACATCTGAGTGCTGGAGGGTCAGCACAAAAGTCACTGAACTTAGAAGAAACAGGCACAATTTGAGAGACTAAATACTGGTTTAAAGGAATCTGTGTTTATTCTGCTGTGAGATGACCACTGAGGCCACAGCACATGCTGGTTGTCCACTGAGCCCCAAACTCCGTCCTGACTGCAGGCTGGTCCCTCAGCACTGCTTCCAGCTTTGTGGGAAGGAGCAGTCAGAATTAAAGATTTTTTAAAACATTGAGCTTCAAATAACAGCTGAAACTATAGTGGTGTCTGTTACCTAATAGAGTTATTAGTTCAGACAAGAAAGGTTTGTGGTAGAAGTTTATTTAGTTCTTTGAAAGCATACATTTCTGAGGAATTAGAAGTTAAAGAAAATGCTCATTCTTAAACATTTATGTCTTAGTTTTGCCTTACCTTTGCTTAATATATTTTCTTTATTTCAAATATATTTTCAATATTTAGTAGAATCAACTTTTGTTCTTCTAAAAATGCATCTGTAACTATGTGTACTTCACAAATATATTTATGAAAGGTTTGAAAGGATTAAGCTATAAATGGTTGTCCCTGAAAAACAGAGAAAGTGTGGTTTAAATTTTCTTGGATGTTCCTGGCATTGCCATATTTCTTATAACAAATGTAGAGATTTCATATGAGACAGAAAATAGGAAAAATCCTTTTAAGTATAATGGGTGATGCTTCAGAGAAAGTTGGATTTCTTTGTTAAGTACCAGTCTAAATGTGCACAGTGACCAAAGAATGGAGGATAGTAACTTAGCTGTGTTGTCAGGTGAACTGACACTCTCCTGTCTCTTTTCGAGGTTGTACGGCTCCACGCTCAACATCGACCTGTTCCCGGCCCTTGTGGTGGAAGACCTGGTCCCTGGCAGCCGGCTGGGGCCCACGCTGATGTGTCTGCTCAGCACACAATTCAGGCGCCTCCGTGACGGGGACAGGTGAGCACAATGTGGCTAGTGGGGCAGGACGCTAGGCCTGTTGAGGATGGAGACAGTTAGCACAGTGTGGCCAGTGGGGCAGGATGCTCCTGTATGCGACCTGCTCAGGAACGGGGACAGGTGAGCATGGTAAGCCAGCAGGGCAGGACTTGCCTACACACAGCCTGCTTAGGGATGGCTGGGCATAGCCTACCAGCAGGACAGGGTACTCAGACACTCAGGCTGTCCTGGGGCTCAGGAAGAGAGGGGCCACCCTTGTTGAGGATGAGAGGGAAGCCTCAGACCTTATCATTTTGGGACAGTGGCCTCAGGCTGGCATTACTGCAGCTCAGATCATTACCACCTAATCCAAAGCCTCTTCCATGTCCCTTCTCTTACACAAGTATTTCTACTCCTGAAAGCCAGGCAGCCATACAACTACTGTGTTTCTCCGAAAATAAGACCTACCCCCAAAATAAGCCCTAGCAGGATTTCTATGCATTTGTTAAATATAAGCCCTACCCCGATAATAAGACCTAGTGATAAGACCGTGCATTTCGGTGCAGAGAGGAAGACATCCCCTGAAAATAAGCCCTTGTGTGTCTTCTTGAGAAAAAATAAATATAAGACAATGTCTTATTTTTGGGGAAACACGGTAAGCCACTGTAGGATTTTAGAGGAGTTAGAGCTTCTGGAAGGGATTTTGGTTTTCAATTCCACCTTACACTTATGAGTGTTGGGAAGGTGGGTCCACCTGCTGTTCAGTCACTCAGCAGCTAGCTGCCTGCCTGATGGTTTTTCTTTTTAAAATGTGGCCTGTGTTTTTTGTTGCTGGTCAGAAGAGCTAACCCTATCCCTCCTCATTTCAGATTCTTGCTTTTGTTTCTGTGTTTGAGCAGGCAGTGTGAGCAAAGTCAATCGGTTTTTCAGTGATACCTAACTTAAAGCCAGTGGCCTCCGAGCTGCTTGGCAAGGCTCCAGAGAGGGGGGTTTTAGCCCCAACCTCCCCTGAAGCTCTCTTTTTGGGCCAGGTTGTGGTACGAGAACCCTGGGGTGTTCTCCCCCGCCCAGCTGACGCAGATCAGACAGACCTCGCTGGCCAGGATCCTGTGTGACAACTCGGACAACATCACCCGCGTGCAGAGGGATGTGTTCAGAGTGGCAGAGTTCCCCCATGGCTACGGGAGCTGTGACGAGGTCCCCAGGGTGGACCTCAGGGTGTGGCAGGACTGCTGTGAAGGTGTGTGCGTCTTTGTCATTGCTGGTTCTGGGGAAAGCTCTGCACAGGCCTCGTCATGTGAGAGTGTCCTCACAGGCCTGAGAACTGGAAGCAGTGTTTAGTTACAGAGTTTGTTGAATTATGGTACAGCCCCAGGAGGTGTGCCAACAGTGTGAACAAAGAAGACGGGATTTTGAGGAATTTGTAGTGACACCAGGCATTAGTAAGACAGACTCTTTAGACCTGCTGTCTCCATGATAGGGCTCCTGGGGGCCTGTGTGCTCCCACCCACGGGCAAAGATGGTGTGAGCAGCGTATCAGACGCCTCAGGTTCCTGTAACCGTAGTGCCAAGTGTTGTCAGCGTCCATCATGACGTGTGTGGCTGCGCCTCAGGAAGTCAGTGCTGGCAGGTGTGGGGTGGTCTCGCCAGCAGGGCCTGGGAGCTGTGGGGCCAGCACGGTCCCATCCATGGAGCTGCGTGCCGAGTACAGGGCCACCCTCTTGGTTGCATTCCTGCTTTGCATTCTGAATTCCCACTCTGGTTAACCTCAGTTTCCATTTTCCAGTATCAGTGTAATTTTGGCTTGATTCAAACTATGATCAGAGCCAGTGGAAGAGCACCAAGCCTGGGGTGGTCAGAGCCCGCAGGGCTACGCTGCCACTCAGACCGCAGGGCTGGCCCGGCCTCACTCGCGCACGGTAGCCTCTGGCCACAGCTGCTTCCTGTTTCCAGAAGAGATACACAGAATTCAGAGAATCTAGCTACGTTCCCTCCTGCCTCACTTTTCCTAGAGTGGTTTTTGCTCCGGGGGTGATTTAGCATAGTGTTGAAACCTGCATTTTGGATAGAGCTGATTTTTAAGGGCTCCTGGCTAAGTGTCTATGTGAGTGCGTGAGGCGTGTCTGTAAGCGTCATCTGATTCTCTTTCTCTTCTTCATCTGTCTCCTCATCTGTCTTACAGAATTCACATAAAAAAATAGAAAATTGTACTTGCTATATACCAGTTTTGAAAATCATCTTCTTTCTTATCACATCTGCCAGAAACCTGTACCTGTTTTTGTGTTATTTATTTATTTTTTTGTTCTCACTGGTTTATAAAGTGTAATTTTTTTTTTTTTTTTGAGGCAGAGTCTCAAGCTGTTGCCCTCAGTAGAGTGCCATGGTGTCACAGCAACCTCAGACTCTTGGGTTTAAGCAATTCTCTTGCCTCAGCCTCCTAAGTATCTGGGACTATAGGTGCCTGCCACAGTTCCTGGCTATATATATATTTTTTCTTTTTGGCAGTTGTCATTGTTTTAGCAGGCCCGGGCTGGGTTCAAACTCTCCAGCTCTGGTGTATGTGGCCAGTGCCCTACCCACTGAGCTACAGGCGCCGCCCTGGTTTATGAAGTTTAAAATGCTTTTCAACAAGCATTGTGGCAGAAAATTCAGTTTGCGTTTACAGAAATTTGTTCCCTTTAAATCCCATTGTTTTCCAGCTGAGTGCTGTGGCTAGGAGGAGGCTGAGGCAGGAGGATCCCTAAGCCCAGGACGCCAGGTTGCTGTGAGCTGGGGTCCCACCGCTGCACTCAGCCTGGGGGACCGAGCAGGATCCCCTCATTTTCTGACAACTTCAGCAGGTTATCAGAAGGAGCTTTGGTTTTTTTGTTCTTTTGCTCATCAAATCCAAAGTCCTTTGACCGTGGAGGTGCCTTGTCACATGGCACGCACTGCCCCCTCACCGTGGGTGGGACACTTGTGGAAGCTTTACTGCTCTTTCTTCTCTCTTTCAACAGCTGGCAAAGCTTGGGGAATGCGCGCCAAGCTTCTGTTCTCATTTCACTCTAGCGGCCATATCTAAGAGAGAACAGAAAAATAACCAAAGAATTGGGTTTGACAAAACCAAACCCAGTGTCTATTGCTAGTTTCAATTCAACTTTATAAAAAGACATTGAAAATGAACCCTGTGGGCTGTGCCCCTTGATCATTTGGTATTTTTACATACAAGCACAATTCCTGCACACACAGGAAAACCTGAGAAGCAACTCCTGGGTAGGTCGCTGCTTTCTTTTGAACAGAGTCAAGAATTACACCTTCTTTGTGGGGTTAATTAGGCCTAAGGAAGGACACACATACCTACACACAGCTGGGGGGGGGGTCATTGCAGTAACTATAAAGTATCACAGGAAACTCCCACTTTACATTTTGCTGTATATGACTCTCCCTTTATGTAAGTGTAGGGACGTGTGTGTAAGTGTGTACGTACATACAGTGCCAGCTGCACACAGCTGTGTGTGTGTGTACGAGTGTATGTGTGTGCGCGCTGCTGTGCATGCCACAGTGAATGGTTATATAACATGTGTCTGTGTGTGTGAATGTGTGTACGTTTGCACATGTGTCTGTGTGTGTATACATATGCATGTATGCAATGCACATGTTCTTCTGAACTAGCCGAGGAAGTGGCAGGCATCTTGCCACTTTCCTCCTAAATACTTAGTGTGTGTGATCTAAAACTGTGCAGCTTTTCCGAGACAGTGTGGAAGAACAGAGTGACATACACTCAGCCTTCTGGGTCTGACTTGGAAGCCGGATGGTTATGGAAATAACCCACAGACCACGTAGTGCAGCTGTGTGTGGCTCTGTGGCCTGGCAGAGGGACATTGGAGACACTGGTTGCCTTCCTCTTGCCAGCCAGGAGGAGGGAGAGAGTCCAGGGGAGCCAGTGCCATTCTCAAGTAGACAGACAGCAGTGTGGGCATCCCTGCTCTGTGGGGAGGCTGTAGGATTCTGAAAAGGGCTGTGTTTGGCCTCTGCCTGGACTCCCTCCCAGGCCTGTCCAGGTTGATGAGGAAATGAGACAGATGAGAAACCCCCTTAACTTTGCCGCAGAGCATCAGCGGTGCCTGGGGCCCATGTGAGATGTGGCATTGAGGGCCCCTCCCTTACCTCGGGGGTGTAGGCAAGAGGCCCCCCTCTGGCATGAGACCTGGAGGTACGGTGCAGGTGGCTGTGGGGAGGGTCACAGGTGCCCAGACCCTGAGGGCCCCACCTGCTTGGGGTGGGAGGACCCACACATGATAGCATGGTGGGCAGCATGGGTGTCTGAGTGGTTCAGCTGCTTTGGAGACCAGTGGCTGAGTGGTGAGGAGGGCAGAGTGCAGGTGGAATAAAGTCCTGGCCCCGAAACCGGAGGATTCAATCTGCAGACCAGCTAGCGAGTTTGATGAGGTCACTTCATTTGCACCTGCCACAGCTGCCAGGGTTTGTTTCATAAAGATTGCTCGTGTCTGTCCAGAGACAGTAAGATCAGCAGCATGGTCAGCAGCCAGCATGCCCCTTTGTGTGTTCGTTGTAGACTGCAGGACCAGGGGACAGTTCAACGTGTTTTCCCACCATTTCCGAGGCAGACGGTCTGTTGAATTCAGCTACCAGGAGGACAAGCCGGCCAAGAAGAGGCAGCCTCGGGAGATGCTAAGGTCTGGGCCACTCTGAGGGCAAACCAAGGGTAGAGGGCCCTCTGCTGTGGGGATGGGTGGCCTACTCAGGGCACCTGGCCAGGGGCGGGCACACACTCAGAACCCAGTGACTTGGACCTGGATGAAAGGAGGCTGCTGGGAATCTCCTGGGGTAAGGTTTTGCCCCCTTCCCCCATGGCAGTTTTGGGAAGCATGGTCCACGTCTCAGCAATGCCACCTCAGCCCTCGGGAAGCACTCGAACGGACTAGGAACAAATGACTTCAAGGAGTTTGTTCTGGAAATGCAGAAGACCATCACAGACCTCAGGAAGCAGGTGAGGGCCGCAGGCTCAGCTTCTTTCCCTCTGGGAACACGCCCTGCCT